GCAAATGACTGGTAATCAGAAGGAGCTTCTCCATCCTGTCCCATGGTTTGTAGGTAAGCACCGTACGGTATGAAGAAAATGATCAGTGATGTTATAACGCCATGCAGCAGGCTTAAGAAGAACTTCTGGTAGTTAAAAAGCAAGTCTTTTTGTCCCAAGACGTACAAGTTAGGAAACCGTATGCTCAGTTTATCACTCACATCCTGAATTGAAAGAAGCGAGACAAATGACAAATCCATTGTGGTTTTGCTTGAAAATCATTGATCACGTTATACCTCCCCACAACAGATGTGCAACATCACATGCAATAAGAAAACAGCAACCTTTTAGCTAATGTGTCAGTGGGCAAAAATGAGTTGGCAATGCAAAATATCTGCAGAAAATTTTAAAAAGAAGCTAGATTCACCTTTCTGTTGTTTGAGAAGTTGCACGTTAACTTCCGGATAAGACTTCTTGAAGCCTTCTGCCTACCCATTTTATAGAAAAAAAATAGAGAAGCCAAGCCCCACTTTGCAATGTTCAGGCACAGGCCCTTCTCCCTTTGGATGTCCAAATTAACAGAAAAGCGTTCAGAGGGGACCAGTGACATGCTCAATACTTAGTATGGGTCCACTCACACTCTGAGTCATCACATAAGTTCACAACATGTAAAGGTATGTCTAATCTAGTGAAAAGAAGGACCAGGAGCGATATGATAGCGGTGTTTCAATAGCTGAGGGGCTGCCACAAAGAAGCAACGGATGGAAACTAATGAAGGAAAGAAGCAACCTAAAATGAAGGAGAAATTTCCTAACAGCGAGAACAATTAATCAGTGAAACGGCTTGCCTTCAGAAGTTGTGGTGCTCCGTCACTGGAGGATTTTAAGAAGAGATTGGACAGCCATTTGTCCAGAATGGTATGAGGGGTTGAATAGAATAGAGCTTTTTCAGCTCTATTATCTGATAAACAAGTCAGTCACTAATTGAAGACTCCCTACTCTCAGACTGAACCAATACAAGAAAAGTGTTAATTTCCACACCGTATTTGGCAAGTGATGAGTTTATGTTTTAATCTGTTCTTTCAGTGAATTAGCATTAGCAACTGCTAGATTTCCTGCGAAGGATTCTAATGATATCAAGGGTACTTCATAGGCAAATAACAGGTTCAAAGGTGTGACATTAATAAAGTAGCCACTTGATGGCACTATTTGTCCAACATTAATGCAATATAGTGCCAAACACTTGGAAATGGTTTGCAATGGAATGGATAAGCTTGACATAGTGGCTGTAATGCACTAAGACAAAACCAAAAAACCCATATCATGGCTTATTGTACTGTGTGAATTTACTCAACAGAAATTTCAGAGGCCATGGTTGCATCGCACAGAGAAGCAATGACCAACTTTTAAGGATAAATGTTTAGTTCATTGTTCAAACAAACCTGATCAAGTAATCCAACAAGAAGAACTGGTAGACTGGAATATAATACATTGTATAGTGTGATAAACCAATCCTCGTACACTGTCTGTAATTGCAAAGAAAATATGTTACACCTTTAAAAACATTTATTTAAGTTGTATTTAAATAAAATTAATCCATATCAGAACAAGCAACTTTGGCAACAAGCAGCAATCGAATAAAACAACAAATTTAAAATAATGTAAAAATCCATGTTAAAAAGTAAATATTATCAAAAGGAATATACAAAGAGGGGAACCCAGAATGAGATGGAGCCAGTCAAGTGGCTTGTTTGATTGTTGTCACCAGGGAGGGAGTGTATTGGTTTTTAAAAAATTATTATTTGTATACTGGGTTTTTATTTTTGTAAGCCACCCAGAGAGCAAGGGAGTGGCCATATAAATTTTCTTAAATAAATAAGAAGGGTCAGCTCAACAATGAAGTTATCTAAGCATGTCCCAGAGGTGCTTTTTCAGGAGGCAGCTGGACTTCCTTGTTTTTTCTTTTGAAGACATTTTGCTTCTCATCTAAGAAGCTTCTTTAACTCTGACAGGATGGTGGAGAATGAAAGGATTATATTCCTTGCAGACAGCTGGTCATTTGCATTCTTTTAGAGGGTCATTTAAAGGATGCAAATGACCAGCTGCAAGGAGTATAAATTCTTCCATTCCCCACCATCTAGACAGAGCTGAAGAAGCTTCTTGGATGAGAAGTAAAATGTCTTCAAAAGGAAAAAAACAAGAAAATCCAGTTGCCTCCTGAAAAAGCACCTTTGGGACAACCATAACTTGGATGACTGAGAATCTCTACAGACTTTTATCTAAGCATGTCTTCTCTGGAAGCCCAAGGCCTGATGACATAACCAGGACTTGAGGGACTTCCCCAATATCAAAAGGGGTGGAGGTAATTTCAGGGGGAAGAAAATTCCATAAGATAGAAGGGATGAGCACGCTAAATTATCAAGTCAAATGCTATGGCAGCTAGAACTTCAAGGACCCCTTGTTCATCCCTATCATAACTTTGAACAGTCGCTGAACAAGTTAAGTAAAGTGAAGGCTAACTCTCCTTGAACATCTATCTGAAAGCATTCCAATCCTTTTTCATTGCACAAATCAACAGAAACATATAAATTCATAAATATTAGTAAATATATGCAAAAGTTTCCCAAGTTTTAGTAAATATTGATTGTTGCAAAAGTTCCCCAAGTTTTCCTGATCCTTTACCTGAGCAGAATAGCCATTGAAGAAGGAGTACCAGAAGTGCACTAATGTAAAAGCAAAGTTTTTATAGAAGAAATACCGAAGGAATTTGCACATTCTGATGTAAGACCATCGTCCATGAACCAGCAACAGCCTCTGGAGATATCTGAACTGGCCAAAAGAGTAGTCACTGGACATGACGGCTTGCATCCCTTCTTGACCACTTATCCCAACACCAATGTGGGCAGCTAGAATAACAATAAAAAATACACACCATTCAGCTAGCTCATTTATTGCAATCAGCTATTGGGTAATTTATTTTTGAAAAATATGTAATGAATAAATGTTTCAAGAAATGTTATGGAACAAAAACAAAATAATTCCTAGTTTTGTGTGTGTTATATGTCATGTAGCCTTCATTATTATTTTTATCTGGGCCACCTCTGTGTTTTCCCAAAACTGTAGAGTGGTTTTTTTTAAAGCGCATTTCAGGAATGCAAGCAGCACGCGTTATTTTTAAAAAGCTTTCCATTATTAAAATTTTAACAAAACTTTATTGTGTAATATAATATGAAATTCAGAAACAGACAAAAAGAATGAAAGCACAGAATGCAAAGAATGTGTAGGCTGAGGAATTAAATAAAATACAACAGTAATAGTTTGCATAAAGCCATTACTATCATGAGAATAAAGTTTGAGATATGCATACAAACACATTCATGCCTTTTCTTGGAAATGATTTTATGTAACATGCAAAAAGGGAGTAAGAAATAATAAGGCAAAAAAATTAATGTATGATGTAAGAAAACATAATTAAAACTAGTTTCATCAGACAGGCTCAAAGATACTGATCTTCAGCAGCCATCTGGGTTTTCTTTGGTCAATCAAGTATTTCAGTTTTTAGAGAAGTTTTATTTCATTTTGTTTCAATTCAATATCATTATGTTATTTATTTTAAAACATTTGTATAGCCGCCCATCTTTCAGCCAACTCTGGGCGGTTCTCAATCAAAGATTTTAAAAAATCATATAAAATCAATTTAGTATGGACTAAGCCTTAACTGTATCCATGCCACATTGAATGTTCCCTGCTTAAGGTAATGACAGTATCAATCAGTCAGAGAGGTCCCAAATTCTTAGGTATTTAAATGTAAGAGTGTATGGAATAAGAGTTAAAGATGTCCTGCTTCAACTCTGATTCCAATTTGATATTTAAGCTTCAAATTCAGCTTATGTTTAAAAAGAAAATGTTGCACGCTTTTAAAGTATTTTTTTCTGCTTTCACAAATTAGTTGGCCAAATTGGCTCTTAATTTTTGTTTTGGCAAATCAGAGAATTGGCAGTTTCGGGGGAGAATTATGAATTCAATGGTGAAAGGGAGACTAGAGCAACGGAAATGCTAAGGTACAGAGACCAGGGGTCAATGGTAAGGAAAAACTTAGTCTCAGAAACCTCTCTCAACTTTTCTCTTTAGAAATTTCCACCCTAAAACTGCTGATGGTTTTTTTTTTTCCTGAGATGAAAAAGCCTTGAAGAAACTCTTTTTAAAGTCTTTTTTTTTTTCTAGTGACGTAAAAGGTATAACTTTTCTTCCAAGTTTGGCTTGGCTTTACTGCCAAGTCTGAGATAAGCAGAGGGCTGGGGTTGTTTTTCAAAAACCTAGGGGAATGAAATACCAGTGCTTCAACAAAGATCTATGTAAAGAAATGTTATAGCAAACTTTAACTTTAACAGGCTAATATTAAGAGCCAAGCCAAATCTCCGTTAAAATGGGAATGGTTTCTTCGACCCTCTAAAAACATTTGTCTAGGAGAAAACCTACTTTATGATAGCAGTGCATATCTTTTTTGAATAGAGTACAATAACAGAGTTGGAAGGGACCTTGGAGGTCTTCTAGTCCAACCCCCTGCCTAGGCAGGAAACCCTACACCACTTCAGACAAATGGTTATCCAACATCTTTTTAAAAACTTCCAGTGTTGGAGCATTCACAACCTCTGGAGGCAAGTTGTTTCACTGATTAATTGTTCTGTCAGGAAATGTCTCCTTAGTTCTAAATTGCTTCTCTCCTTGATTAGTTTCCACCCATTGCTTCTTGCCTTGCCCTCAGTTTTGAGGGAAACTGTGAATGATGGTTGGAATAGTTCATTAAACAATAGGGCAAGTCCATTATTGCCTTACATTTAGACAAATCCTGGATCCAGCAGACTGTTTTTCATTAAACCCCATTCTGTTAAACCCAGATCCATTAAATTTAGGGTTTATTATATTTAGAATATAGAAAGATATTTCAACAGAAGCGATGAACCAACAGTGTATTTATTTATTGCATCAGCCTGTTTGTCAAGGAGCAGAAGTGCCAAATACCTTGGCAGAAGCTATCAAGATACTCAGCACAGCCTGGCTACATAAGAATCTTTGCTGCATACTAGGATGAAGCCATGTGAAGGGTAGACAAAGTTGAGGATGTTCTTATACCCACAGTGGTTTAATTACAGTGTTATCCCAACAATTTCACAGACTGTGTTGTATTTCCCAGCCTCTGAACAAGGAACTGTTAGCTGCTGAATTCCTGCCCTAAGAAACTGAAAGTGCCAGTATAATTCCTATAGGTAGTCACGAGTCAGATTTGATGTGCAAGTCCTCCTCACCTGACACTCGAAGGCTTTGCTTAAGGGCAATCTGCCTCTATCTTTTGTGTCTGCCTCAGCCTTGAGAAAGGGACTAGACCTTGACAAACAGGTCAGAGGTTCCATCTATTGATGTTCTTCTCTTTCAAGATGTATTTTGGGGCGAACAAAAACTCCCTCTCTCTTCTATGAAAACTCAAAAGAATACTGAAAAGTTTGTCTGAACTTTGTTGTATAATCTTGTGCAGTATAGAAGCATAATTGAGTGCCTCCAGAAGGTTTTCATGGATAAGGTAGAATCTAATCACTGTGCCCAGCAATGTTAGATACCCAGACTGAAACAGACAATGATGCACTAGAAGAGTCATTAAGAGAACCAACCAAGGGTGGGATTCTATTGGTTGGGACAGGTTCTATAGAACCGGTTGTTATGATCCTGCGCAGTTCGGAGAACGGGCAAATCATACCCCTGGCTGGCCAGCTGCCCCTCCCCTCCCCACCCAGTAAGTCCTTATCACACATGCGCGACATTGTTGACTGCGTTCTTCCCCACCCAATCACTCCTTAAGGTATTTATTTTTCTCCCTCCCGACGATCAGGTGTTCCTAGGATCAGTTGTGCCGGGATCCCCCTCGTTGTCTTACTGCTTTGCCCAGGAGGCTTTCCCGAGGCCCAGAAGGCCCCAAAACAGAGCATGGGGAGTGCTGCATGCCCCCCCAGGCTCCGGTTTTTTTGCCTTCCTGGGCCCCAGGTAGCAAAAATGCCCCCAAGAGGCTTCCCTGAGGCCCAGAAGGCCCCCAAAATGGAGGGGGGGTGTTTGCCAAAAGAAGAAGAAGACACGCCCACCCAGTCACATGGCCATGCTCATCTAGTCATGCCCACCTAGCCACGTCCGCAGGACCAGTTGTTCAAAAATTTGAATCCCACCCCTGGAACCAACTAAAAGTAAGGAAAAGTTTTCTGACAGTGAGAAGAATTAATTAATGGATTAGCTTGCTCAATCACTGGAGGTTTTCAAAAATAGACTGGGCAACCCTTAGACTGGGATGGTATAAGGCAGAGGTCTCCAACCTTGGCAACTTTAAGACTTGTGGACTTCAACTCCCAGAATTCTCCAGCCAGCTATGCTGGCTGGAGA